GTCTTTTTTTTTCTGTTAGTTTTGCATCATGTTTACAAATTTTTATCTACAGATTTAACTTTTTTTTTCATTCTAACGCCATCTTTAGGATACTTGGAATAATCTCCAGGGAAGATAGTTACAATTTGAGGGGAAATGTCTGCAATACCAACGAACGCGTCGCGTCAGGCAAATGGTAAATCTATCTTATTGGCATTCGATTTTAGATATTTCGAAAGGTTGTACTTTACTTTTTTGGATTTAATTTAATTACGTTAATAATTATCATTGGGACGTGGTTGTATTATTTTTGAAACCAACTTCGGTAAAACATTTTGTAAAATACACCGATTATTCTCTCACAACATTTCCTAGGCTTATTGATTTCTCTTCATCCCAAATGAGATTCTGAAACAAGTCTCTGAAACTAATTTCAAACGAGGAACATTAGGTATATTTAAAAAGATTTCTTGCCTTGACGTAACAATTATAACTTAATATTTTGAAGCTTTAATCTAATTCCATGAGGAAAATGCCTAATAGTTAATGTTCTTAATTAAAAATATAAAAGAGCTTCTTTGCACACAATTCAGGTAATGTATTCCGTACTCTAGATAGTATTTTTTTTTTGCTAAAGCTTAAAAGAAGTATTTTAATTATGCGTTGTCAGGAAGTTGCAATTAATGCAAATATGTTAAAGTAGAAGCTGCTTTTCTTAGAAATATTTTGGCTGTTTTCGCTTTCAAGGATCATGTTTACTTTGCTTATTTACCGTTGCTCATTTTTAATACATCTTGTTAAGGGGATCCATTTAAATATAACTCAAAGAATCGTGAGAATAAAAGCATTAACGACAGGATTATTCACTTGAAAATGTAATATTCTTATTTTTACATTTGTATTTGTTAAGAGAAGAGAAGAATTATGTTGAATTTAAAAAAAAATCTCAAGGAATTAAAAGAGGATATTGAAATCTGATTTAGTTCCAACTCATCCCTTTTGATTTAGTATTCACTTGATAGTCTCTTTCAAAATGAAATACAAGACGAAACTCTAAAGGAGGAGGGTTAATAAGGCCTGTTTTCGAACCCCTTGAGATTTTTATTTAAATGCTTGAAATGCATTTTCCACCAAAGAAAAATGATAATTTTGATGATTGAAGGTTAAATGAGGGTCAAAAATAAGGGTAAAAAGAATCTTCAATTATGAACTAATTCCCTTGAAAATCGTTATTTAAAGGTTTTTGGGGTCGCCGATTACAAATCTGATGTTAGTTTTTCAAAATTGAAAATGGTGGATCCAATATGGCGGACAAAATTTTAAAATCACTTTAATTTATTTGAAACTTGTTACTCGGGGGTTTTTGTGGTCGCTGATTACGAATTTGGCATCAGATTTTAGAAATTAATTAAATTTAATTAAATTGAAATGAGTTTCAAGCAAATCTGAACAACTTTTAACTTTTGTCCCCTATATTGGATCCTCCATTTTAAATTTTGAAAAACTGATGCTAGATTCGTAATCAGCGACCACAAAAACCCCCAAGTAACAAGTTTCAAATAAATTCAAGGGATTTTCAAATTTTTGTCCGACATATTGGATCCGCCATTTTGAATTTTAAAAAACTGACATCGGATTCGTAAACAGCGACCCAAAAAACCCCTGAGTAACGATTTTCAAGCCAAATAATTAATTTTTTCAAAAAGTCGTCCGCCATTTTGGATCCGCCATTTTGAATTTTGAAAAACTGACATCGGATTCGTAAACAGCGACCCAAAAAACCCCTGAGTAACGATTTTCAAGTCAAATAATTAATTTTTTCAAAAAGTCGTCCGCCATTTTGGATCCGCCATTTTGAATTTTGAAAAACCAACGTCAGATTCGTAATCAGCGACCCCAAAAAAAACCCCCGAGACAATCATTACCTTAATTTTTTTCGATCCTAAACGTTTTACCCATAAGTCCAAAATGTTGCCCACCAGTTATCAGCTGTCATCTAATTTTGGAAATTAAAATTTTAAACCAAAATATTTTTTCTTTAAAACTAAAATAAAATAATGAAAAATTGAGTAAATGATGATGATCCCAAAATTAGGTGGATGTCAGTTGAAGCTTCATGATTCGAAAGGTCATTAACCCTTTTAGACTCACGCTAAACTGAGTTGGCTAAAAAAGAAAAATGCAACGGTTTTCATAGTATTCAGGGTCGCTAATTACGAATACGGTGTCATTTTTTCGAAATTCAAAATGGCGGATCCAATATGGCAGATAAAAAAAATTAAAAATTAATTAGATTGGCTTGAAAATTGATACTCGGGGGTTTTTGGGGTCGCTGTTTACGAATATGTGGTCCGTTTTCAAAAATTCAAAATGGCGGATCCAATATGGCGGCTGAAGAAATTAAAAATCAGTCGAATTGACTTGAAAATTGTTACTTGGGGGTTTTTGGGGTCGCTGATTACGAATACGAGGTTCGTATTCAAAAATTCAAAATGGCGAATCCAATATGGCGCCTGGGAAAATAAAAAATTGATCGGATTGGCTTGAAAATTGTTCCTAGGGGGTTTTTAGGGTCACTGATTACGAATATAAGGTCCGTTTTCAAAAATCCAAAATGGCGGATCTAATATGGCGGCTGGAAAAAATATAAATTAATTGAATTGACTTGAAAATTGTTACTAGGGGGTTTTTGGGGTCGCTGATTACGAATATGAGGTTCGTTTTCAAAAATTCAATTTTTCGGATCCAATATGGCGCCTAGGAAAATTTAAAATTAGTCGAATTAACTTGAAAATTGTTCTTAGGGGGTTTTTGGGGTCGCTGATTACAGATATGAGGTCAGTTTTGTTAAAATTGAAAAAAGGGAATCCAATATGAATTATGAATCCAATTCCTTTTTCTAATTAATTATACTAGTTAATTAACATATTTTTAAATATTACGAGTAATTAAATAAATTTTCCCATTAACCTACTACCATATTAATTAATTTTCCCCATTCGTGCAAATTTAAAAATCAGAGCATAATTTACCATTTTAAATATATTTGCAACATATAATGAAATATCCAATGATTATTCTGAGAATTCCTTTAGAAAATATAAGAAATAATGCAGAGATAAGGAACCAGGATAGTCGCAAGGGCAACCACATGTAGAAAATGCAAGATGAACAAGAAGAGACTTACAAGGATAACAAAATCCAACCTGTAAAACTGGTTTCAACCACACATCAATAATACGAATTGCGAATAGAACATTTTTCGCAATCGCGACATCAAGGATTAGAAATTAAATTAAAGTTATTTTAATATATTTCGATTGAATGAGAAATAGATTTATTTTATTTTTTTTTTCACTTCAAGTCTATATACCACAACCTTTGAACTAATTTAATTATAACTATTCGTTTTCATTAAATATGTAAACGAATATTTATTAAGAAGAACACAATTTTCATTGACATTTTATTTATTTATTATTATAATATTATTTAATAATTATTATAATAATTATTTTCAATAATTATCTTATTTAAGTTACTATCAAACATTTAAATATTTAATTATTTTTTAATTATGAGAAATTATTTTTTGCCTTTTGGAAATTTAGAATAAAATGTATTGCATTATTATAATTATAATTGTTATTAATTATGACTATTATTAATTACGGCTATTATTAATTATTAATATTAATTATAATTATTGCTAATTATAATTATTATTAATTATTTATTTCTAAATTTTGTAAAGATAACCTAACATTTTTGAATTAATTTTTGAATCTTAACTAAATGGGTTCCTTCGTAGGAACCCATACAAGAAAAAAATATGTGTTTAAATTGAGTTTTCTTTATTGGAACGTTTATAAGAACCCATATAGACACCTATATGGGAATATAAATATCGGGTGTATAATTTAAATGGGAACCCATATTTATGTTTATTATACTTGCAAATGGGAACCTGTATGTGTTCCTATATTATTTTTAAATTTCCTTAATAGGAACCCATATAGGAACGTATATAGGTTTTAAATTTCAAGTATATAATTCAAATTGGGAACCTACTGAGAATCCATATAGGTTCCCATATAGGTTTATTATACTTGCAAATGGTAACCTGTATGTGTTCCTATATTAGTTTTAAATTTTCTTAATAGGAACCCATATAAGAAACCTATATGGGTTTGTGTATTTCAAGTATATAATTTAAATAAAAACCCATATTGGTTATAATATTTTTAAATAGGATCCTATGTGTGTTCCTATATATCCTCTCATATAGGTTCCCATATGGGTTATAGTATTTGGTTTACAATTTACCAAAAATAAAAGTTGGAACCCATATGGGCTCCCACTGAAAACCGAGCTTAACAACGAGTAGGATCCGATGTAGGAACTTATAGGAACCCATATGGGAAATTCAATGGGTTCCCATATAAATTCACATATAGGTTCCTGTAGATACCCATAAGGAAATTTTCAATAGATGGTTAAGGAGCTTATAGGAACTCATATGAGAAATTATATGGGTTCCCATAAAATCATCATAAGGGTTCCTGTAGAAACCCATAAGGAAATTTTCAATAGAGTGTTTTAAAAAGCTTATAGGGGCTCATATAAAAAATTAGATGGCTTCCTATAAAATTCCCTTATGGGTTCCTATGGGAACCCATAAGAAAATTTTCAATAGGGTGTTAATGTTACAAAACTGTAACTTTTATAAAAAAAAGTCTTAAAATTAACATAACATCGACGAAACGAAACAAATACTAAAAAAAGAAAATTTTTCCCCAAAAATGAAGACAAAAATAAAAAAATTCAACTCGACAGCAGTTTTTCTTGTATTTCTATTTTTATTTTAATTTTTGTGAAATTAGAACTCAATATCAAATTCACATTAGAGAGTAATTTGATAAAAATAAAATGGCGTATGGGAATGTTAACGTATAACCTTTTACTGCCCCTGAGTTTACAAGTTCCCTCTTGTCAGAAACTTGGATCAGACTGTGATTCACTTTCGCACGAATCGCATCGAGCGTCGACGAATGAAATTTTTTCATTGCAACTGTCGGTCAGAAAAGTTTCAATTTTTACGTGAACTTTACAATTTTCTTTTTTTTTTTTTTTTTTTTTATTCTCTTTTTTCTTTTGATTGAAACTCGTCGAAGTAGTTTTTCCCTGCTGAAAATAAATTAAAGGATTCTAACGACAGGTGAGTTTCAAAAATTGACTAAACAAAGTAATTTAATAACTGTAAACAATTTTTATTTTAAAACATTTAACTTACATTTTTAACTTAAAAAAAAGTTTGTTTTTCTCATTTTTAAAATGATTTTTCATTCTTAAATTTTGGGAAATTTAAATTAACGAAAAATTTCAATTAAAATTTAAACTTTATTAAGAGAATTTAAATTCGGATAAGTAGAGTCAAACCTGAAAATAAATATAAAACAAAAATGTTTATTATTTATAATTAAAATTTTTATTTCAAACAAACTGCAATTAAAATAACATAATAACTGTAAAAATTTTACTTAAAATATTTATAGTTTACTAATTAATTAATTTAATTTACTAATTTTTTTTTTTCAAATTATTTTTTTTTATTGAAAACTGGTTGATTTTTAATTTTTAAAAAGAGATCCACCTAATTTTAAAATAATTAAAAAAATTAAATATTTTTTGTTTTGTTTAAAAGCAACATGAAGGTTTGAAAATAAAAACTAAATGTAAAGAAAACTGTAAAAATAAACACAAAAGAAACATGTTTATTATTTATAAATAATTAAAATTTTTATTTCAAATTCATTGCAATTAAAATAATTTAGATATCGATTGTGTAAGAAATTAATTGATAATTTAATCAATTATTTGACATTAATAAAAAGTGAAATTGAAAAAAACGACAAAAAATGCTGATAAATATTTTCTTGTCACGCTGGTATCAAATAATAATTATAAACATTTACTTGTACTGATTTCTGTTCAGATTTTTTGACATTTTTTTAAATATTTGTTATTTTTATTAATTTTTTAATTATTTATTTATTATTTTTATTATTATTATTATTATTATTATTATTATTATTTTATTATTTTATTATTATTTTTTTTTATTATTATTATTATTATTATTATTATTATTATTATTATTATTATTATTATTATTATTTTCATTATTATTATTTTTATTATTATTTTTATTATTAATATTTTTATTATTTTTAACATTTATGGTGAATTATTCTTAATTTCTAAATTAGTAATGCAATGTTTTACTAATTTTTTAATTATTTTCTAAAGTTGATTCATTTATCAATAGTTTATTAAATCATTTAAATAATTCCCTTTATAACTGAATGAAACATTGTAAATATATTCAAATCGTCTTTTTTGTTTGCTTTTTGCAATTATCTCATTTGAATAGTTAAAAGCTATTGTAGACAAATTTAAAAAAAAAATTGTAATTAGTAAATATTATAATTAAAAATAATATTGTATGTACCTCGGACGTACATTGTCTAAAAAATTTAATTCTTCACTTTTTTGTCAATTTTAATAAAAAATTTTCAATTTTTCATTACTCAATGAAAATACGAAATTGTAAAAATTTTTGAAATTTCAATTCTTCTCATATTTTGATTGTCAAAAAATAATATATATATATGTATATATATATAAATACTTATATAAAAAAAATAAATAATATATAAATAATTATAAATAATTATAAATATATTTGTATATAAATAATAAACTATTTAAAAAAAAGGAAAAAAATATTTAAAATATTAAAATATGTAAAATAAATAAATGAATATAGAAAACAAAATTTTAATAATGTTATGTTATTATTGATTAATCATTATTAATGATATTTATATTATTATAAATAATAAATAAATTTATAAATATATTAATTTATTTATTATATTTCTGATTTATTCTTTATTAATAATTATTTATTATTAATTATTCATTATTAATTTCAATTTAGTAATAGTTTTAATGTTGATAAAAAACTAATGCAAATTGAAGAATCTTTAAATTTTTAAAAATCGAATCAAATTAAATAATAGTACACAATTTTAGTGAATTATTTTTTATTAAATAAAAAATAATAATAAGTAAATAATAAAACAATCTAAAATAATTTTTTATAAATCTTGTGTTGATTTTACATTTAACCTTGTTTTACATTAGGTACAATCAAAATGTCATAATGTGAGATTAATTGATCTTTTTCTTTTTATAATAAAAAACCTTTAAAAAATTAGAAAAAATTAGAAAAAAATCATCTTTTATTAGTACAAAACTGGTTTTATTCATTACGTCAAAAAAAAAAATTTTTTTTAATCTAGATGAACTTTTAAGATCCAAGATTATTTCTTTTTACGGTCCATGGCCTTAGTCCAATACTATGATTATTATAAAGACATCTTTTGTCGACGGTCAATTAACAATGTCACGATCATCTGATAATTTATGCACTTTTTCATTATATGAGAATCGCATCTTGATTACTTTAAACAAAATAAACAGTTATTATGACATTTAATGTCAATTTTTTTTTTCGTTTCTCAATAAATTTCTTCGCGCATGTTTTGTTATATAACATGTCAAAGTATATATACATAAATATACTTTGACTTGTATAGATCATTGGCACTTATAGTTATGTGGAGAAAATTTATTCTCTAATACACGAGGCATTGAATAATTACGAAGAAATTATGCTTTTCATGAATTTACTAATTTTTAATTTTTATTGTAGAAATTCTTTTTCAAATTTACTTGCAAATTAGTAATTTTGCAAATTAGCAATTTTGCAAATTAGTAAATTTGCAATATAATTATTACTTTTTCTTCAGTATTTTTTTTTTTTTAAATTCACAATGAAGTAATAAACAGATGAAATGTATGTCACTGACGTATCGGGGAATATTATCGCGTCGACATTAATGACTTGAGAGTATGGTTCGCGAGATTCAAGGAAGCGGAAGAATACGTTGGATTTATTGTAATAGGGGAGATAAGAATATCGCAAAATTCTCTATTCTGTTTGTATTAAAAATAACTTTTTAGAATAAATTGGGAAGGAATTTTTTTTTTTAAATTAATCTCTTAAAGAACTCGAATTTAATTTGAGAAATTCATTTTTTATTTAATCTCGTTAAAATGAAGACAAATTTTTTTCGTAGTTTCAAACATTATAATTACAAAAAACAATGTTAAGCTTACACAGAAACGTCTTTAAAATGTAAATATTAATTTAAGAATCATAATTCTTCGATATAATAAATATAACAAGTTTCACGTAAATTCGACTTATTTTGAAAAAAAACCGCCATATTGGATCCGACATTTTGAATTTTCGAAAACTGACCTTATATTTGGAATCGGCGACCCCAAAAACCCCCAAGGAAACTATTTTTAAGAGAATACAGCCGATTTTTAATTTTCATGTCCGCCATATTGGATCCGCCATTTTAAATTTTTGAAAATTGACCTTATATTTGGAATCAGCGACCCCGAAAACCCCCAAGGAAACTATTTTTAAGCGAATTCAGCAGATTTTTAATTTTTATGTCCGCCATATTGGATCCGCCATTTTGAATTTTTGAAAACTGACCTTATATTTGGAATCAGCGACCCCGAAAACCCCCAAGGAAACTATTTTTAAGCGAATTCAGCAGATTTTTAATTTTCATGTCCGCCATATTGGATCCGCCATTTTGAATATTGTAATTTTGACTTTAGATTCGTTATCAGAGACCCCAAAAACCCCCGAGTAACAAAATTCAAACAAATTCCACCAATTTTTGAAAATTAAGTCTATCTTGTCCAGTAAGAAATATACCGAAATAATTAAATCTCTGTGAAGATGATTCTGAATCCAGGAGGAAATATACTGAAATAATTGAATCTCTGAGAAGATGATTCTTAACCCAGAAATTACCTTGAGTCATTACGTTCCATCTAGCCATTCTTGAAAAAATTAATAACAAGTTCACCAATAAAGACAACAAAAGCCAGAGTGTAACCAATTGCAGCAATTGTTAAAATTCTTTGACTCAAATCGAAAGACGCCTCCTCCTCTAAATGATCGCTTGAAGGAATCATTTCTTTAGTTGTCTTGTAATATCCCCATTTGCCCATCAGTCCAGTCTCGATCATCGTCTGAAGTCCACTGTTCACATTATTGGAATATGGTAATCTTGGTTGCATCCAAATGACCCTTGCAGCATACGCCATATGCTCGTCTATCCTCCTACCCTCAAACTTATTTCCCAACTGCTCCTTACGCCAATTTTCGAAATGATTCAAATGCAGAACACACGATATATTTTTGTACTCCACAAGATCGTTCATACAATTATTCCACTGATAATCATTCGAATAGATAACAGATTGATTCTGCAATTTTTCATAATACCACTTTTCCTTGGTACTAGCCGATGTTTGATACGTTAAAGCCGAACCCATAAATACCGTTAAATTAGAATTAACAAGATCCAGAAGAGTTCGAATCTCCTTTTTCGGAATAACTTGCAAATTCATTTCGACCAACAGTGAATGAAAGAAACCAGAGTAAACGATACTCATCAGAAGAAGGCACGCCAAAACAATTCTCTCTTTAACCCTTCTTGGATTGTTGGGAAATCCGGCGCCGACAATAACAGCAAAAATATTCAAAGACTGCCATAACTCTTTGGTAAATTTCAATTCCAGTAGAATCACCCGTATCAGAACGATTATAAATAGTGTCATCAAAATTGGGAGAATGAAACTAAAATCAGAATCTTTTGAAAACTCATTGGATGATATGTTAGGTACAACAACAATCATGCTCTCTAGATACAGAACACGGCTTCGTAAAAGTGTTGGTCGTTGACATCGGTAATTATGATAGTAATTGTACATTCCAATGATGAATTGCTTTCTCCCCTCGACTAGACCTTTAAATCCTCCTTTTATCAGTTTTAGCTCACATCCAAAACCACCAATAGTTGACACATTCGATAGTTTCTTTGGCTTCAATCTAAAATTTATCATCTTCTCCAAACCTTTGAAAATCGTGAAACTAACCTTTTGCTGCTCCCGCCACACGTACCCAACATTCTTCCGGTGTAAATTCCTCCCTTTGTCAGGGAACCAATCGAAATATTCCACTGTTTCAATCAAATGACTACTATTCCTCGACTCATTGTT